TGGTGTGCCTGGTGGAGAACATCTTCCCGCCGGCGCTGACCATCGGCTGGACGCTGGCCGGAGCCGCGGTCACTCGCGGGGTCACTTCGGGTCCCTTCGTCCCCGACGCCGACCTCACCTTCGTCCGCTTTTCCCGAATTTCCGTCACCCCCCGGCCCGGGGACGTCGTCGCCTGCGTGGTCACCTCGGACGGGGACAACGCCACCGTGGTGGCCTACTGGGGTAAAAGGGTTTGGGGCATTTTGGGGATGTTTTTGGGATTTTTTTGGGAGTTTTTGGGGATTTTTTGGATTTTTTTGGGATTTTTTTGGGGATTTTTTTGGGATTTTTGAGGGTTTTTTGAGGATTTTTTGTGGATTTTTTCATGGTTTTTCATTGTTTTTTCATGGTTTTTTTCGTAGATTTTTGGGGATTTTTTGGGATATTTTTGGGATTTTCTAGGGTTTTTTTGGGATTTTTTGGGATATTTTTGGGATTTTCTAGGGGTTTTTTTGGGATTTTTTGGGATATTTTTGGGATTTTTTTAGGTTTTTTGTGGATTTTTAAATTTTTTTTAATGGTTTTTTCATGTTTTTTTCCATGATTTTTTGAAAATTTTATGGGATTTTTTGGAATTTTTGGGGGATTTTTTGTGGATTTTTTTCATGGTTTTTTCATGGTTTATTTTCATGGGATTTTGGGGGATTTTTGGGGTATTATTTTGTAATTTTATGGGTATTTTGGGATATTTTTGTGTGATTTTTGGTGTATTTTTGGTGGATCTCTGGGTGATTTTGTGGTATTTTTCAAGTGATTTCTGGGTGATTTTGGGGCTATTTTTGGGGTATTTTGGGGTGATTTTGGGGTGGATTTTTGGGGTATTTTTTGTGAATTTTGTGGGTATTTTTAGGTGATTTTTTTGTGATTTTCTGGGTGATTTTGGGGGTATTTTTGGGGTATTTTTGGGCACACCCCGTGGCCGGAGGTGACCTCGGGGCCGTGTCCGCAGTGGCTCCGGACGCGGCGCTGGACGAGCAGCTGGACACGGCGCTGGCCGGAGCCGCGCTGGCCTTGGGGCTGATCCTGGCCCTGCTGGGGGCCGGCCTGGCCCTGCTGGCCCGCAGGGACCCGCACGGTACGGGATAGGCCCGGCCTAAACCTGGGCCTAAGCCTGGGACTGGCCCTGCTGGCCCGCAGGAACCTGCATGGTACAGGATAGACCCGGCCTAAACCTGGGCCTAAGCCTAGGCCTGGGCCCGGGCCTGATTCTAGGCCTAAACCTGGGCCCGGGCCTGGTTCTGGTTCTGGGCCTAAACCTGGGCCCGGGCCTGGTTCTGGGCCTAAACCTGGGCCCGGGCCTGGTTCTGATTCTGGCCCTAAACCTGGGCCTGGGCCTGGTTCTGGTTCTGGGCCTAAGCCTAGGCCTGGGTCTGGGCCTGATCCTGTTCCTGGTCCAAGTCCTTGTCCTGGTCCTGGTCCTGATCCCAGTCCCAGTCCTGGTCGAAATCCCAGTCCCGGTCCTGATCCCAGTCCAGCCCTAATCCCAGTCCCAATTTGGATCCCAGTCCCAGTCCTGGTCCTTTTCCTGATCCCGGTCCTAATTCTGATCCCAGCCCTGGTTCTGGTTCTGGTCCTGACCCTAATCCTGGTCCCAATCCCAGTCCCAGTCCTGGTCCTGGTCCCAATCCCAGTCCCAGTCCTGGTCCTAGTCCTAGTCCCATTCCCAGTCCTGATCCCTGTCCCAATCCCAGTCCCAGCCCTAATCCCAGTCCCAATTCCAATCCCTGTCCCGGTCCAAATCCAAATCCCAGGCCCAATCCCAGTCCAAACCCTAATCCCAACCCTAATCCCAGTCCCGGTCCAAACCCAAATCTCAGTCCCAATCCCAGTCCCAGTACTAATCCCAGTCCCAGCCCTAATCTCATTCCCAGTCCCAATCCCAGGCCCAGGCCCAGGCCCAATCCCAGTCCCAATTCTGATCCAATCCTAGTCCAAACCCTAATCCCAACCCTAATCCCAGTCCCAGTCTCAATCCCAGTTCCAGTCCCAGCCCTTATCCCAGTCCCAATTCCAATCCCAGTCCCGGTCCAAACCCAAATCTCAGTCCCAATCCCAGTCCCAGCACTAATCCCAGTCCCAGTCCCAGTCCCAGTCCCAATCCCAACCCTAATCCCAATCCCAGGCCCAGGCCCAATCCCAGTCCTAACCCTAATCCCAGTCCCAATCCCAGTCCCAATTCTGATCCAATCCAAGTCCAAACGCTAATCCCAACCCTAATCCCAGTCCCAGTCTCAATCCCAGTTCCAATCCCAGTCCAAACGCTAATCCCAACCCTAATCCCAGTCCCAGTCCCAGGGGTGCCACTGGGGGAATTGTCCCAAATTTTGGGTTTTTGTTCACAGGCTGAGCTCATCCCGGTGGGAATCTGGGAGTTAAACCCCGCCTGTCCGAAATAAATCCAGGCTTTGGCAGAGTCCGTGTCCTTCTTTGTCGCAGGCCTGGCTTTAGGCCTGGTTTTAGTCCTGATCCTGATCCCGATCCAAGTCCCTGTCCAGGTTCTGGTCCTGGTTTTAGTCCTGATCCTGGTCCTGGTTTTAGTCCTGATCCTGGTCCTGATCCACGTCCCTGTCCAGGTTCTGGTCCTGGTTCTGATCCTGGTTTTAGTTCTGATCCTGGTCCTGATCCCAGTTCTGGTCCTGGTTTTAGTCCTGACCCTGGTCCTGATCCCAGTTCTGATCCTGATTTTAGTCCTGATCCTCGTCCTAGTCCCAGTTCTGGTCCTGGTTTTAATCCTGATCCTAGTCCCAGTTCTGGTCCTAGTTTTAGTTCTGATCCTGGTTTTAGTTCTGATCCTGGTCCTAGTCCCAGTTCTGGTCCTGGTTTTAGTTCTGATCCTGGTCCTAGTCCCAGTTCTGGTCCTGGTTTTAGTCCTGATCCTGGTCCTAGTCCCAGTTCTGGTCCTGGTTTTAGTCCTGACCCTGGTCCTGATCCCAATCCTTGACCCTGATCCAGATCCAAGTCCCTGTCCAGGTTCTGATCCCGGTTTTAGTCCTGATTCTGATCCTCATCCTAGTCCCTGTCCAGGTTTTGGTCCCAGTTCTGATCCTGGTTTTAGTCCTGGTCCAGGTTTTAGTCCTGGTCTTGATCCTGGTCCCGGTTCTGGTCCAGGTTTTAGTCCTGATCCTGGTCCCAGTTCTGGTCCTGGTTTTAGCCTTGATCCTGGTCCTGATCCTGGTTCTGGTCCTGATCCTGATCCTGATCCCAATCCTTGACCCTGATCCCAATCCAAGTCCCCGTCCAGGTTTTGGTCCTGGTTTTAGTCCTGATCCTGGTCCCAGTTCTGGTCCTGGTTTTAGTTCTGATCCTGGTCCTGATCCCAATCCTTGACACTGATCCAGATCCAAGTCCCCATCCAGGTTTTGGTCCTGGTTTTAGTCCTGATCCTGGTCCTGGTCCTGGTTTTAGTCCTGATCTTGTTCCAGGTCCTGGTTTTGGTCTTGATCCTGGCCCCGGTTCAATCCTGATCCTGGTTTTAGTCCTGATCCCGGTTTTAGTCCTGATCCTGGTCCCAGTCCTGATCCTGGTTTTAGTCCTGGTCCTGGTTTTAGTCCTGATCCTGGTCCCAGTTCTGGTTCTGGTTTTAGTCCTGATCCTGGTCTCAGTTCTGGTCCGGGTTTTAGTCCTGATCCTGGTTCTGATCCTGATCCTGATCCGGGTTTTAGTCCTGATCCTGATCCCGGTTTTATCCTGGTCCCGGTTCTGGTCCCAAGTCCCAGTCTCGGTTTTATCCCAGTCCCGGCCCTGGTCCTGATCCTGATCCTGGTCTCAGTCCCAGTTCCTGGGGTGGCTCCCAGTCCCTCCCAGTCCCTCCCAGTACCCCCAAACCCCCATTTTCCCATCAATTTTACCCCAACTTTTTATCAATTTTTTTCCCAAATTTTCCCCATTTCCCCCATTTTTCCCCCCAAATCCCTCTCCCAGTCCCTCCCAGTATTCCCAGTTCCCCCCAGTCCCTCCCGGTTCATCCCAGTCCCCTCCCAGTTCCCCCCCATTCCCTCCCAGTACCCCCAAACCCCATTTTCCCATCAATTTTACCCCCAAAATCCCAAATTTTTCCCAAATTTTCCCCATTTCCCCCA